CCAGTTCCAATGTAAGGACTAATAACAAGAGAAAGTTCCCTTTTTTGTTTTCACCTGGGAATTTTTTAGCAAGCAGTGCCTTTGTACGACTACACAAGGCTGACATTCGCGTTCAGTCGACGGCGTCACTCACCCAGCAGTACAATCAATCCGTTTTCTCTGTAAGCAAGATAAGCGCTGATGAAGTAAAAAGTAAGATGTCATAAAAAAGATAACATCTTACTAATTCTGGCAGTTTTATTTCGGCAACGAGAAACTCCGGAGATTCTGGGTTCGGAACAGCTTTTAAGTTCATAGACGGCGTTGTGGTCTTTGGTCTAGAAGAATAGGGATGTTAACCGCAAGCCGCAGCCAACTTGATTGGTTCCTTCGGCACACCGCCAGACGGGGTAGACAAAACGGGCTCGCTGAAATCACACAGACAACTTTAATACGCGACTCTCAAATACATACCCATCACTGGGATCCAATTCTATTATGGCCGGTCGAGCTTTGGTTCGAATACACTGCTCCTGCGGGGTTCCCATGCATTTTTTGTTTTTCAAAACAATCCAATCTAGGAGGTAACGAGATAAATGACCGTAAAGTAGCATTCACCTCTATTAAGTTGGATTTTGAATTTGTTTTCAAGGCCCTCTATGATGACTGTCATCAAAAAAGCCTTGAAGACTTCCGACTTCTGGATTTTTTTGAGGAAGTCCGGATGGATGATGATGTCGTAGGCGGTACATGGGACTCCAGCTGAAAAGTAAAAGGAGGTAAAATTAGAAGAGAAGTTAAGAATACGACTAAAATATGTGTGTGAGGCTTTTTTGGAAGTAATTCGCATGAGCTTGCAATTCAATATCATTGCATACGCATATTGCTGCTACCTGCTGGGTATACAACCTTTTTTCAGATTTGCTGGATACTTTCAAATATCAGAAGAGCTGGCCTAGAAACGTTCACGTGAAATCACGCAGCTGTGTTTTGATGAACTGAAAACCAGCCAGAACCAAAATACGTGCTCCAAAAATGTGTCATTTAATGTTTGACTGGAGTACGGCGAAAGATCAAAGATGAACTTTCCTAACTACAGACTTGAGGATGTGCAGTATATTGAGAGTAGTAAGCAGTGCCTTTAAAGACCCTTTTGAAATCTGTATACAGTAGTCGATGGTTATTAAGCCCACGGTTAATAGGCCCAGCCGCGTATTAAGCCCAAATCA